AGAGAGAGAGAGAGAGAGAGAGAGAGAGAGAGAGAGAGAGAGAGAGAGAGAGAGAGAGAGAGAGGAAGGAGGGGAGAGAGAGAGGGACTGGTGGTTACCCACCTGGCAACTTTACGAGCTGACGCCGCGCGCCTCCCGCTGCTTCTTCGGCTCCCTCACGATGACTGCTGTGCCCTGGCTATGGCTGGGCGACGGCGCCCTGGACTGCTGCTGCTGCACAGGAGACGTGGAGGCAAGCATGCGACGGGCAACTCACGGCGGGCGCGAAGGGCACAAAGCTGGACTACGGGGTTCATCCAGGCAGCAAGGGGCAGCACTCCGAATTCAAAACTTGAAAAACAAACTCACTTTAGCTGCCCCCCTTTTTTTTTCTTCAGTTGCCCCGCGCGGCCTCGAAATGTCGTTGTTTTTTTTTTCCGTTTTGTGGCGCGACATCCCAGCCGGGCCTGGAACACCCCTCGGCAAATTTTATTTTTTTTTGGTCGGCCCCCTATTTTCGGGGTGCGCCGCACCCCGTGCGCGGTGAGCAGTGCGGCGCGTGTGCGGGGTGCAGCGCATGTTGATGCGCCACAAGTATGATTTATACTCCCCTTTCCCCCCCTTGACAGCCAACACTCAAAAAAAGAAAAGAGTCCAGATTTGGGCTCCTCGCGGAGAGCGCGGGAAAACCCCACCGCAATTTGTTCTTTTTTTTTTTTTTTTTTTTTTTGCCATGACTGGGTAGCCCGTGCGTCACACCCGGGTGACCGGCCGGTCCAGACCAGCCGGTCATGAAAATCGTCCTAGCTTTTAACTAAAACAGGTCCTTATTATGGCCCTGGGTCCATATCCATTCTGGGGAGTAGATTTGTCATTACTAGTTTTTTGAAGTACAAAAAGATTGTGCAGCAGGTTGCATGGAGCGATTGCACATCGTCAGCAAGGAAATAACATCACTTGATGCGCTACCACCCGGGCGGCCTGGGCTGTCTCTGGCTGCCTAGGTGGCACAGCCGGGCAAGGAAGAAGAAGGATACAAGATTTACAAGAGAGGTGCTGAGGCCAAATGGTGAATCCACAGATTCACAGCGAGTATAGGAACGAGCAAATCAGGAGTTCACCATGAAGGACTACACAGGAAGATGACACGTAGATTGAAGAGACGACATGAGAAAGAGGGACACCATAGCCAAAAACCCATGAGGAACATCGAGTTCCTTGCAATGGAGCAGGCATTTGACGTTATCCTGAAAAACAAAGGTCCTGGGAAGCGCCAATTAAAAAAAAAAAAAAAGTCGGAAGCAAATGAGAGCTCCACCTAATGAGATAATCTCACAGCGGCAAGCAAAATACTGAAAATCTTCTATCCAGTGGGCTTATGGCCGACCCGACTCTCTTTTGGGGTTGGCCATACCCCCAACGGATTGAAAATATTTTGGGGGAAAGCTTCCTTTGCACCGCCGTGCCCAGTGTTAAGGAGAGGAGGGGAACAAAGAACTCTTTACTTTTTCGGGTAATGCATGTAAAAAATACTGACCGTGGGATCACTCACGAGTACTGCACGGCAGGATTTGGGTCACTCAACTGCCACACCAACTCTTTTCTATCCTATCCCCTTGCTAGTGGGACCATGCCCCTGGTGAGCAGCAGTGCGGTTCCTTTTCTTATAGCAAGAAACGAATATGTTTTTTTTTTTGTTTTTTTGTTTTTTAAACAGGGCCTTATGGACCTGGCTCCTTCTATTCTGGGGAGCGTCAGTCCGGTTCCTATTCCACCGGCAAGTCAGACAATGCATTACATTACAGCAAAAAACTCACGCTTCCTCCCGTTTGGCCGAAGGACCCCTGAACAGGCATTGATTACTCCACTGTTGGTGGAGGATTGACTGTCAGCTTGCCATGACTCACTCTTTCCGGATATGGGTTTTTAACTTTTTAATAGTTTTTAATACTTTTTATTTATTTATTTTATGTTGTTCCTCTCTCGCAGGATTATAGCAGAAGCAGCTGTCAAGCTGGATGAGCAGCGGGATGAGGTCAAACGAATGAATCAGATGGTTCTATATGCGAAATGTGTGACACTGAGAGACAAGCAGCTGGAAGAAAAGGTGGGGGATTGAATCGGCTGGTTGTGAAATAGACTTGTCCCCCTTCTGCTCTAGACTTCTCATAGGGGTGGTTAATTCCCCAGCCTTTCCCTTCTCCCATCCATCACACTGAACAGGGGGGGGGGGGATGTCGCAGAGGGAAATTTTGCGCTGAGACCTGTAGGTAGTGCTTGATCACACAAAGCCCCAACAATGCCTTCTCGGAAAGCGGCAGACCCGCCCTGCTCCTCTCCTCCATTGCCGCCAGGTTCATGAGTTTCTCCTCATTTTTTTCTGAGTTGTCAAGGATCATCCATTTATAGTATTTTATACCTGTTTCTGTAGATCTTGTCTCTCTCTCTTCCCTTCCTTCTTATGATCTTCCGTACAGCCTTACATGATAGGTTACATCCCTTTTTTTTTTCTTTTTTTTTGTTTGTCTTTTTATTGTTGTTGAAACCGTGGCTGAGGGTACTAGGCGAGGTGATAAGAGGATCCCCACCCACCTACCTACCGGTAGTATCCCCTCCACCGGGTGGCCCAATTTATATTGGGGGGGGGGCTTCACCTGCCTGCTGGAGACCAGGTCCAGCGTCCCCAAAGAAACCAGGTCCAGCGTCCCAAAGAATCAGTTTTGCAGCAACTTTTGCGATCAACTGCCTGATGACTCTCTCTCTCTCTCTCTCTCTCTCTCTCTCTCTCTCTCTCTCTCTCTCCTCACATATTCTCCTGTTGCCATTTTCTTGGACGAGAGGATGGCCAGGGGCGGTTGGAATTTCGAGAACTGCGGTTGAATTGCATTGCGCCGTATATTGAAAAAAGATTACAGCTAAGCAAAGCGGTGAAAATGAAGCTAACACGAATGAACAAGCTGTTGTATTTGGCCTAGGTTCAGGCCATTGCCTAGCTTCTTCGGCTGTTCCATGTCTCATAGGCAGGCCATCGTAACCAGGGGGCTGTTGCAGGTTGACGATAATGATGACCACAGGAAGCGCAGGACATGGGATGGGAAAAAGCTGAATTGGCTATAAGAACGGGACTACAGGCGAGGAAAAGGGAAAGTGGTGATAGTAGGGAGAAGAAGATGGGGTAGGAGGAGCTGGTAGGCTGCTGATGCCGAATGCTGGGTGGCATGGATGATGACGGCGGACGCGACAACACATTCAGGACAGAAAGTGATGGAAAAACTTTGAAAAAGGGACTTAGTCTCATTCAGATGGAGCCTCTCCCCAGGTGGTAGCGGTGTCTGCAGTTACCAGCACAACTAGCACTGGAGGGAGTGCTTGAGTGGAAAAAAAAAAAAAAAAAAAAAAAAAAAAGAAACAACAACAACGAGAGCTGGGCCCGAGGAGGGAGGAAGTGATGAGGTGAAGAGCCACTGAACTACCGTCTTCCCCCGAACACAACGCACCCTCATTTTGACAGTATCGGGCCGGAAACATGCCTTGCATACGTTCATTTTCGGGGTGCGTTATGTTCGGGGGAAGACGGTAGGGACGACACGGAAGGGGTTGCTTGTCAATCAATTCTTCGACTACGGAACCGAGATCCTGGTCGTCAGAATAACGACGAGGATGATTAAAAAAAAAAGGAAAAAAAAAGGAGGTTGATGATGATGATGATGACATGCAGGAAGGTCTGCCGTTCAAGCACTATCTGGTCTATACACACGAATAAGACAACGTGTTTGAGATTTGAGCATCCATTGTGACCTATTCCTTTGCTGAATCGTGCTCAGCACCCTATAGCCATCCCAAGGCTAAGGTTGAGGGCTCAAATCCCTTTCACACACATCCATTTTTCTCACAATCTATTGACTCTATTCACTCTATTCCCTGTCTCTTATACACATCTAGATGTGTATAAGAGACAGGGTCTGCCGTTCAAGCACTATCTGGTCTATACACACGAATAAGACAACGTGTTTGAGATTTGAGCATCCATTGTGACCTATTCCTTTGCTGAATCGTGCTCAGCACCCTATAGCCATCCCAAGGCTAAGGTTGAGGGCTCAAATCCCTTTCACACACATCCATTTTTCTCACAATCTATTGACTCTATTCACTCTATTCCATGGCAACCGCGGACCCGGACATGTCTGGACCGAGGCCCAGACATTTGTCTGGACTGGTCCAGATGTCCGGTAATCCGGACATGCACCGGACAACCGGACAGGACCGGACCCGGACCGTCTGGACCGGTACACCAGACACAATAAAATGTCCGGACCAAAAAAAACACCAACAACAACATTAGTAGTAAGCAGTGCTAAACATAGCTAACTGTCTTTCACTATTCACGACTTGACAGCTCAATAGAGTCGATACTGTCACAGACATTCACAAAGGCTCACGCAACACTTGAAACCATAGTTGCGGCGCAGTGGTAGGGTGCGCAGTGTGGCGTGGGGCGGTGTGCGCCATGCGCGAGAGAGTGATGCATGTGCACGTGTGCGAAAAAAAAACAAAAAAAAAACCAAAAAAAAACAGTTGTGTGTGTGTTTGTGTGTGTGTGTGTGTGTGTGTGTGTGTGCTGTCTCTTATACACATCTAGATGTGTATAAGAGACAGATCCATCACACTGAACAGGGGGGGGGGGGATGTC